CTGAAGCAAGTGTTGCAACAACTGAGCATAAGTCATGGGGATCTGGTCGAACATTCTGTCGGACCGCTTCGTCCTTTGAGCATACCTCATAATCCTAGGATTGTATCGGGAAACAGGAAGTAGTTGTTGGCGAGGAAATACTGGAACCTCAGGTTGTGTAAGATATCTTTGAGGCACTTCACGCCTTGGGAGAGGTTCCACATGTAAAGGTGGGATGGCCATCTCTGCTGCAGCTTCGGGCACATGATCGCCTTCCTTTCTCAACACATTCCTCATGACTTCTGTTATCAGGCCCATCTGAGTCTTCAGTTGATTATTCTCCTCTCTGAGTGCATCCTGATCCAAGCGCAGCGCTTGCATCTTTGCCACAAACTGCCCCAACTGGCTCTGAACTTCCCTTAGTTCTTCTCGAATCTGTTCCATGGTCGTCTCTGTTGGTTTCCTTTGGTGGAATGATCTTCAATTCTGGAACAAGCCGGATGGAAAACCACATGAAGCAATTACGTCCACAAAATTAGAACACCTTTATGCAAATGAATAATGATGCAATATGCAAGACATGCAAAGAAATGCAAATGAACATGCAAATGCAACAGGGGATCAAACGTTGTTGTGTTGTTGACGGTGACGGACCAGCGCTTCGCCTTGAGACCAAACAACATTAGTACAAAGATCCCACTGTAACTGTTCATACTGACAAACGGGTAGGATGAAGGTCAAAGTTTTCTGCAAGACAACAAAAGGTATCTTTCCCATCGGGTGAGCAATCTATCGGTTTAAAAGAGGGTATTCAAAAGGCTTTTCAAACAAAGTCCCATGCACTAACCCTCAAAAGTTTCCCATCATAACGACTACTCGTAAGACGGTAATCCCTTCAAAAGGATGAACACAGAGTTATGTTTTAGCAACCTTCGGAATAAAGGTTCTACAAAAGGTCCTCAGAATCGCGGACTCTCAAGTTGAAAATAAGAACGCCCTTACGACTACACGTAAGACATTATTATTCCAACGGAGTCTCATCTGAGCGGTGAGATTCAATCCAACTCAACGAGTCCTAAGTCTCGCAAATCAGAAAGAAACCACCTCCTAACTTAGTGTATACTCGAAAGCTCGGGTAGAAAGCTTTATCCTCACAAACCATCCCAATAAACCCAACAGGTAGAGAATAAATCACAAAGCAAATTAAAGCAAAAAACAAAACACAAACACGACAAACAAAATAGGCTTGGCTCGCTAGGACCTCCCCAGCAGAGTCGCCAGCTGTCGCTACTCGAAAAATGACATCGCGCAACGACGGGGAGGCGAAAAGGAAGGACAGAAGAGTCGCCACCGAACTTTATTTATCCCATGGGGGAAAGGAAAATATCGAGAAAACCTTAAGAAACGAACGGATAAGATGGTCTTGCAACCATGAACGGGTTCGGAAGCCGGTTATGCGAGGGGAAGGTATTAGCACCCCTCGCATCCATCGTACTCGATGGGAACCTTTTGTTTGTCGATGTGTGAATTTATTTGCTTAAAGATTATGCTATAAAGAGAGTGTTCCAAGGGATAGAAAGAAGGGTTTAGAAACGGTGAAAGAGAAGTAACGGGGGGAAGAAGGGAGAGAACGGACTCGGTAGGACTTCGCGGTCCTAGGCCTACGTATTCTCAACAGATATGAGAAAATCAGAGTCGACGTAGTTCGGGAAACTACAGATAGGGGGGATTGTGCTCGCCAAGACATCGCCGTCTTGTGCCTACGTATTCTCAATAGGTATGAGAAATCAGAGCAGCCGTAGTTCGGCCTACGGTGTGTTGATGTTTTTTATGGATGATGCTATCGTGCGCATTCTAGCAGTTAGGTGTTTTGCTGCTCGCTCGTTGGAGACTTATGCGTACCTGTTTGCGGTAGAACGGACGTAACATATCCTTTTGAAAGATTGATTAGTTTTCGCCACGCGGGGCAAGAAGTCACGTTTGATTGATTGGATTGTTTTTTAGGGGGCGAGACAGGTCCTCGGATAGTAACCCCTACGGGTAGTACCCAATTCATTGTCTCAAAGTTTTTTTTATAAAAAGGTGTGGCGAACGAGGCGTCTTCATATTGAAAGACGAGCGTCGAAACCACCCTCACTACAGTGGGCATCCCAATGCTCGGAGAAGAAGAGGTCTACACCCAATCCTCTCTCTTTAATTCAATACAAGGGGAACTTCGTTCTCTTATTAAAGATGTTTTTGGTTTTGAATGGTAAGTGCTTTGCGACAGAGAACCCTACGGTAAACGTCAGCACTCGGGATAGGAGAAGGCCTACGCCTAACCACTCCACGACCATTCAAGTTTTTGTTATGAAAAGATTTGAAAATGCACTCGGTACAGGACCGAGGTTTTAGGTGTGAAAATTGTGGAAGGAAGTTGTGAAAGTGAGAGGTGGATAAAGGCGCGTCTTCGTATCGAAAGACGAGTGTCGAGACCACCCTCACTACAGTGGGCATCCCATCACTCGGAGAAGAAGAGGTCTACACCCAATCTTCTCTCTTTAATTCGATACAAAGAGAAATTAATCTATTATTGAAAGTATACTCAGTACGAGACCGAGGTTTTATGAGGAGATGTTGGAAGCGTCTTTGTATTGACAGACGAGCATCGAGACCACCCTCACTACAGTGGGCATCCCTACGCTCGAAGAAGAAGAGGTCTACACCCAATCCTCTTTTTAGCTCAACACAAAGAAATGATTTTAAGGAGATGAGATTTGAAAATGGACAGGAAGCGCCTTCGTATTGAAAGACGAGTGTCGGAACCACCCTCACTACAGTGGGCATCCCTACGCTCGGAGAGGAAGAAAGTCTACACTTAATCCCCTCTTTTTAATTCAATACAAAGATAATTTGATTTTGAAAATTGTTTGACAAAGTTTTTGAATCGAGCCGGGACAAGTAATGAAGAGAGAAAAGAGGTGGTCTCAGATCCAACATTACTCATCAATAATTTGACTGGTAATGAATTACGGAGGTCTCGTCATCGACCCAAAAAGGCAAAAATGCCTAATAACAAAAGAGAAATAAGATCTATCTAAAATATGAAATAAACTTCTAAATAAAATGTATATATAAAAACTCTAAAATATATAATATACAACATACATTTTAAATATAAAGTAAATAATATATATACAAAATAAAATTTAACAAAAAACAATATATAACAATAATTACATAATATAAGAAACTTAAGAAGTAAAATAAATAAGTAAATAAATAAACAAGTGGATATGCTCAGCACACCAAGCCACGTTTAAAATAAAACAAAGAAAACATCAAGTCCAAGCCAACAAGTTTGGATCCGTGAAAACGCAGAAGAAGAGGGCGGTGAGTAAACCTACCTCTCTCGTTTCCGTCGTGATGGTTTCGTCAGCTTGAATCATATCTGTTTCAACCCACGCCTTGTCTCTCGCTCTAACCATGATTCCTCCCTCAATGTTTGCTCTATTTCGTTTCCGAGTTCGTTTTTGTTCCCAATTTACTCAGACTCAACTCCTTCTTCTCGATTTCTTCTGAATTGTTGTTTAAACGAAGTTTGGATGGGTTTTTTGAATAAGGTTGAAAGGAGAAGATTTGGAATGGTGTGTCTGGATTTGAGTGGAAAAGGGATTCGTAAACAGAGACTGGGTTTAATTGTTGACTTTGAAAGAGGGTTTGGAATTGATGTGGGGTTCGGTTGAAGTTGTGGAGGCTTGAAGCTGGTTTTTTTTTACGGTTTGTGAAGGTTTTTAGGTTGGAGTGAGGTTTGTTGTTAGGTTTGAAGAACCAACAGTGGCGATTAATGGAAGAAGGTGCTGAACAGTGATGCGAAAATCGCCCACTATATGTTCGATGAAAGTTCTATTATGGCTTTGTGGGTTTAATGGAGTTTTCTGGGTGATTTATTGAAGTTTATTGGAGGATGTTTGAAGGATTTGAATTGTTGAATCTTTGTGTATGACTCAAACGTTATGATTGTGCTGAATAGAAGGGCCCGTCGAGAGCGTCGTGTTATTGTCGAGCTTGTGATGTAACCTGACGTAGTGCACTTGTGTTGCAGCTTGTGCTGTTGTGTGTCTGGAAAGCTGAATGGTAATGGTAGAAACTGATAAAGGTTTATGAGTTGTGATATGAGGGTGTTATCTTGGCAAGGTTAACAGTGAGGATTGGATTTTGGTGAATGGGTAATTGAAGTTTGTTGATGAAGTTCTAAGGAGGAATGGTGATATGTTAAAGAGATTGGAGTCTGTTATATGAGTAAGGAGTGATGGTTTATATTCTTGAAGTGTAGTTTTTGTGAATGATTCAAGATGTGATGTGTATGTTTTTTTGCAAGTGGTCGTTTTATTGTGTTTTGAGGGATGGTTTTTTACAGGCTGCTGTTGTTAGCAGAGTATGTTTGTGTAGCAGAGTGCAGCAGGCCGGTACAGCTGGTGCAGAGCTTGTCTGGCATGGCTGTTTGTCTGGAGTGGGCTTGGTGCAGGTACAACTGCTGTGTATTGTTTATGCAGGTGTGTGGGCTGGTGTGAGTTTGTAGCAGGGTAGTGGTTGTAGCTGGCATTGTCTGTGGTAGCAGAATGGCGCAGGATTTGGTCTGGTGTGGGATGGGTGCAGCAGGCTGGTTTTTGTTAGTAAGTCTGTGTAGGATGTACACAGAAAGCAGGTCTGAAATTTGGACTTGTTGTAGGCTTGTAATAAAATGGTTCTTCCCACAGGAAGCAGTTGGAGATAGAAAATTGTAGAAGCAAGCAATTCCTCCCTGCAGTTCTCACTATACTTCAAACAGATCTTGAAAAGAACTCACAACACAAACGGGTTAAAAACAAAGTGGTGTAGCTAATTTTTCAGCTGATCTGGCGAACATAACAAGGAACAACGACAAAGAAATTGGATCCCATTGAGGTGAGTTTGAAGGTAAAAAAAAATGAGAAAATTGAAGGGTTCTAAATAAAGGGTTGAAAATTTAAGAAGTTAGAGAATAACTTTGCAATAGAGATTCAAAGAAATAATTTTGCGATAAACATCAATAGATAGACTGAACCACCACCGCATGCTGTTTTATCCTTATCCACAAAGATTAATCCACCACAACTACTCCTTTTAGCCACAAAATACCTACAATAATCAAGGAAAGGGTTTGAAGAGAGAGTGAGTGAGAGAAAAGGAGGTAGTTGAGGAGAGGGAGCAAGCGTGATTTGAGTACAGTCAAAGTGGAAAGTGTTTGTTTCCCTTCTCCATCTTTCAACTAGAGCAGAGATAAGTGGATTGTCTAGACTAATAGCTGGAATTGACCGTAAGTATCCAAATCCAGCCTTGTCTACCAATTCAATCTGTTTCGGTGTAAGTGTCCACTGATCAAGTTTTGAAGTGTGTTCGTGACATCTGAGGGCACCGCGCTCCTGCTGCCCTTCCCAAACTGCCGATGATACATGTTTGTCTTGATCATATAGAACTGAACCATCAATTGGACCTGGATTTGTTGTGTAAGGGTCCACTGCTCCCACTTCCATTACTGACAACAGAAAAATTGAATGGTTTATAGAGCAAATTTTAGGGATGGGTCCTTCTTGTAATAATCAAAAGGAAGTAATTGACAATCCTCAACTTTGACTTCCATCTACTTATGCTTCATTGAGTTGTGAAATTCTCTTTTCCTTAAGTAAACATCATTCTGAGGGAAAATTGACACAGGAAAGTTGAAAAACTAATACTGCAGATTTTAGGGATGGTTCCTTCCTGTAATCCAAATGAAGTAATTGACAATCAGAAGTTTTGGCTGCCGTCTACTCATGCTTCACTGAGTTACAACATTCTGTTTTCCTTGTTCTGCTGCCGCGGTAGGAGCAGCACAGGCATTTATGATACTGGAAAATGTAAACTCATTTGGTTTAATCCCTTCTGTGCTTCATCTAATGGCAAGATCTCAAAAATCTGTGTTGTTAATGGATGAGCCTCATCATTTACCCCAAATTTGTTATGACCGGATTCCAGCTCTACCGAGCTATAACCAATTGGCTTCTTGATTTCTTTCTCCCTGATTACTTTCCTCAATCTGGCTGCATCCTGCCACCGACCTTCATCTTCGTACATCTGTGCTAGAATCACATAACGCCCAGCATTGTTAGGGTCTAAAACAAACAACTTCTCTGCAGCCAATTCAGCAAGTTCCAAATTCTTGTGTATTCTACAAGCACCCAACAAGGCACCATAAACATTTTTTCCTGGTTTGATAGGCATAGATTGAATAAACTCCACTGCTTTTTCCAGATCACCGGCTCTTCCCAATAGATCCACGATGCAAGCATAATGAGCCTCTCTTTTCACAACACCATAAGTTTCCATGGTCTGGAAAAGGTGCCAGCCCTGTTCATGCATGCCTGCATGACTGCAAGCCGATAACAAACACAAAAACACAATGTCGTCCGGATGCAAGCCAGAATCAACTAGTTGCTGGAACATACTGAGCGCCTCCTGCGCAAAACCATGCATCCCATAGCACCTAATAATTGCATTCCAAACAATGACATTTCTATCCGGTATCTGGTCAAAAACAGCTCTTGCTATGGTTATATAGCCACAATTTGAGTATAATGTTATAAGACCACAACCAACAGCAGGATCAAGTTTCATCCCTGTCTTAACAATATAACAATGAACCCAATATCCTGCATGAATATCTGCTTTCTCAGCGAATGCAGGAAGAACAGTTACAAGGGTGGCATTATCAGGAAAACCAATATCATCATCTCTCAACATATCATAGAATAGAATTACAGCATCATCCACATACCCATTTGTGATATATCCCGACATAATGGAATTCCAACTAACAACATCTCTGATAGGCATTTCATCAAACACTTTTCTTGCCACTTCAATCTCCTGAGACTTTGCATAAAACGCAATAAGGGCATTACCAACGAACAAATCAAAGTCCAATCCACACTTCACAGCATGCCCATGAACAATTCGCCCCTTTATATAAGCCCTCTCGGCACTACAAGCCTTCAGCACAAAAGGGTAAGTGTAGCGGTTCGGAGTAGCACCACTCAAAAGCATGTCATCATAAACGTTTAAGGCTTCCACGAAAGGACCCATATTAGCGTAACCCTTGATGACAACGTCCCAACAGAAAACATCTCTTTGGGACAAATTGTCGAACACTTTGCGTGCCTGTTCAACATTGGACCCGCCAAGCTGTGAATATTTATCAATTAGTTTAGCAGCGATAAATGGGTCTTGTTCGTGGCCTCCAATAACGATTTGGGCGTGAGTTTTTTTAATGCAGTCAGTGGTTTTGCAATGATGTAGTAGGTCGGTGTAATGAAATGAGGTTTCGTGGGGTTTTGGTCCCAAAAGTTGGTGCAGTTTTCGTGATACGCGGCGCATTGAAACTCATTGAGGTGTTTATTTTTCAATTCAAATTGAACCCCCTTGTTTGAACACAAATTGATGGCCTCTTGGGAATCATCTGTTATCGGCCAGAACTTCCACGTGAGCTCACAAATACACTTTAAGATATAAACACCCTCATTGATAAAATCGCTCCTGGAAGCACGTCTAAGAACCGTGGTTTTGTAAACAAACTAAACACTCCTTTAAACACATACTAATCATGCCATGAGCTCTCTGAAGCGAATTTCAACTTGAAATTAAGTCATGCCTTAGAATTGAATGCACAGAAAAGTTTCAAATCCACATAACCACTTGGTATAAGGAAATCTCAAAGGTAGGACAAATTGGGGTATGACATGCAATGTGATATGCTAATGCAATGAAATGAAACATAAACCAAATGGAGAAAAGGTAGGGCAAATTTTGGGGTACAACACCTCTCCAGAGGTTGAATGTTGTGTCCTTCCCCAGTGAGGTCGCCCCAGGCAAAACTGAATGTTATCTCCCCAGGAGAGCGGAGATTGCGTCAAAGTAAAAGATAATGTATCTTCATTGCAGAATTAGCTTGTCAAGCAAAGCAGCGTCTTCCCCAGTGAAGGTCGAGACAAATGTGATTAACTCCCCAGAGAGTTCTTGTGCAGTGCAAATCAGAATGTGTAGTTCAATCCCTTGCTCAGTGATAGCAAGATGATATCCCCTGCTCAGTGATAGCAGGACGATTTCCCCAGCTCAGTGATAGCGGGATGGTTTCCCCCGCTCAGTGATAGCAGGAGAGGTTCCCCATAGAGTGTGGTCAGGTGGTTGGAGCCGCTGAAAGGAGTTTTCCCGAGCAGGGTTGTCCTTTCTTTCCCCAGCAAGTCACTTTTCCTCGTCAGGAGGATCGTCTTCAGCAGATTTTGGGAGCTTTGATTTCATGAGCTACTTTCTTAGCAGGATGGTTATCCCCAGCGGAGTTAATTCATCTTTCTAACATTTATTTTGTCGGAGGCGTGACGGTATCAGTCCGGTCATCCCCAGCGGATCCAGTTTGTCTTCAGCATTTATTTTGCTGAAGCAACTCTTTGCATAAGCATGCATCATGAGCATTTGCATTCTACCTAAGTACGTAGCGTTTCCATGCAGTGTGAAAGCATTTTGTTGTCATCAAACATGCATTCATGAGACATAGGCCAGGTGGTCACCTCTTCAGTTTCAGATATGTTATTCCTTTCCGATAAGAGAAATCGTGACTCAGGAAGATGTGGATTTCGTGGTCAAAGGACGCAGTGATCGTATTTGTACCAGTTGCGGGGTTCATATAGCAAGGCACGCAGTGATCGTGTTGATTTTGAGATGTTGATTTGTGGCCCAAGTACGCAGTGATCGTAGTTGTACCATCTATGGGGTTCATGTTGTAGGACGCGCAGTGATCGTGTTGATCTTGGTATGTGTATCTGTGGTCGAACGGCGCAGTGATCGTATTCGTCCCGATCTAAGAAGATTGTTTTGTAAGGCACGCAGTGATCGTGTTGGTATCATTTCGGGGTTTTATTGAGCAGGGCGCGCAGTGATCGTGTTCACTCTATTGGCGGTGCAGGACACGCAGTGATCGTGTTTACCATATCATGTGATGGTGTTGGTCAATATATGCAGTGATCGTATTCGTCCGTTATACAGTGGTTATAGATCGACACGCAGTGATCGTGTTTATCCAGTTTTCGTTGGTCAGTACGCAGTGATCGTATTCGTCCGTTATGAGGATTGGTTATGGGGTGAGGCACGCAGTGAACGTGTTCATCTGGTCGTTGGTGGCAGAAATACGCAGTGATCGTATTCGTACCAGGTTTGAAGTAGTGTCACAGCACGCAGGGATTGTGTTTTCCTCCAGTCAAGAGGGCAGTGACATGAAGCGCGCAGTGATCGCGTTTACCCTATGTATGAATATGCAGCGATCGTATTCGTCCAGTTATGTGGGTTAGTTGAGACACGCAACACGCAGGGATCGTGTTTTCTCCAGTCAAGAGGATCGTGGCTCAGAACGCGCAGTGATCGTGTTCGAACTCGCAGTGATCGTGTTCGAGATACGCAGTGATCGTATTCGTACGGCACGTAGTGATCGTGTTGATAGTACCATGGGAACTTGTGATGCGGAGCACGCAGTGATCGTGGCTATTGTATCAGTTGGTTTTGTTGGTCGAGATGCACAATGATCGTATTCGTCCTATTGTAACACACACAGTGATCGTGTTCATCATATTGGTGGTTGAGGTGCGCAGGGAACGTGTTCACCTCTTCTATGTGGATTAATTCCGTCTGGCACGCAGTGATCGTGTTTACCTCATCCGGTTGGATTTATGGTTGATGTGATTATAACGCAGCACGCAGTGATCGTGTTCGTTGTGTTTGTTCCATTATGTGATTTTGTTTGCAACGCCAGGACACGCAGTGATCGTGTTTTCTCCTGTCAAGAGAGTTGTGGTGTGGAATGCGCAGTGATCGTGTTCATCTTGTCACAAAGGGTTGTTGTGCCAGATACGCAGTGATCGTGTTCGTCATGGCATGTTCCCCTAGCAGAGTTGTTGGGTCAAGCATTTCTATTTCTCCCCAGCCGAGTCCTTTCTCAGAGTGCTGTGGAAATGGCATAATGCAGATGTTGGGTGGTTACCCACAGTTACCCCAGTAGAGATATAATCCCCAGCGGGTTGGACTTCAATGGGTTACTTGGTCAAGTTCCTCGTAGTCCCCGGCAGGGTATTCTTCGACAAGTTGCTTGGTTAAGTTACTTGTATTCACCAGCTGAGTCTTTCTCGGGATGATGTGGTATTAGTATTATGAGACGGTAATACAGATTTTTCGGGTGGTGACCCGCAATTCCCCAACAGAGTTATGTTCTCCAGCAGGGTGTTACTTCAATGGGTTGCTTGGTTAAGTCCCTCATAGTCTCCAGCAGGGGGCTTGCTACATGAGTAGTTTGGTTAAATTCCTCATATTTTTCAACAAGGTTATTCTCGTCAAGGGTGCTTGGTTAAGTTCCCAATCTCCCCAGCAGGTGTTTGACGGCAGTTGTCAGAATTGTCCCCTCAGAGTTGCTTGGTTAAGTTTCTCATTTCCCCGCAGAGTCGGTTGTTCATGTCTC